CTGCTGCTTGCCAGGCTGCAGCTGCTGCTTGTTCGGCTCCAGCTGCTGCTGCTGCAGCTGCTGCTGCTGCAGCTGCTGCTGCTGCAGCTGCTGCTGCTGCTCTGACCCCACACTGCTTCGAAAGGCAGCAAACTGCGGGGCTGCTGCTGCTGAGAACGCAGCAGGCGGCGGCGGCGGCACTGGGAGAAGTGACGAACTACTGTGTTCCCTAGCAACGTTAGCAGCAGCAGCAGCAGCTGCTGCTGCTGCTGCTACTGCTGCTGCTGCTCTTTGTTGGTCAAGCAGTTGATTCGGCGGCAAGGGTAGCTGCACTGATCTCCAGGGAGGTCTTGGGGCTTGCTGCAGCCTCCCACTGGGTTCATCGTATTGCTGCTGTTGCGACTGCAGCTGCTGCTGCTGCAGCTGCGGCTGCTGCAGTTGCTGCTGCTGTAGCTGTTGCTGCTGTAGCTGCTGCCGCTGCTGCAGCTGCTGCTGCTGCAGCTGCTGCTGCTGCTGCAGCGGCTGCTGCTGCTGCAGCTGCTGCTGCTGCTGCAGCGGCTGCTGCTGCTGATGCGCATGCAGCTGCACCTGCTGGTTCCGCTGCTGTTGCCTCGGCTGCTGATGCTGCTGAAGCTGAAGTTGCTGCTGCGGCAGGGGATTCGGCAGCAGCACCTGCTGCTGCTGTTGCGCAGGTCGTCGATACCAAGAAGATGAAAGCAGCGCAGCAGGTGAGGAAGAAGCAGCAGCAGCAGCAGTTACTGCAGGAGGAGCACTAGCGGGGGCTGAGGGGAGCTGCGGGGTGTCTGCTGCTGCTGCAGTGTGTGGCAGCAGCAGCCGCTGCTGCTGCAGCTGCTGGAGGCCTGGAGGGGGAGGGATCTCAAGGAGGAGCTGGCCAATGGGTTGTTCTCGCTGCTGCCATGAATGCACCTTTTGCTGCTGCTGCTGCTGCTGCTGCTGGAGTAGCTGCTGCTGCAGGTGCTGCTGCTGCCCCTGTGAGTGCCGCTGCTGCGCCTGCTGGTAGTGCGGCTGCAGCTGCTGCAGCTGGTGCTGTTGGCGCTGCTGCGGGTGCTGTTGGCGCATTTGCTGCTGCTGCAGTTGTCGTTTATGTGGTTGCTGCTGCTGCTCCTGCTGGTGCTGCTGGTGGTGCTGCTGGTGGTGGTGATGCTGCAGGGGCTGCTCCTGCAGCGGCTGCTGCTGCAGGGGCTGCTGCTGCAGGGGCTGCTGCTGCAGGGGTTGGTGCTGCAGCGCCTGCTGCCACAAGCGCTGCTGCGAAGCAGCAGCTTCCGATCCCCAGTTAGCCGGTGGGTTGCGAGAGGACAGCTGTTGCTGCTGGTGCTGCTGCGAGTGCTGTTGCTGCTGCTGCTGCGCGTGCTGCTGCGCGTGCTGCTGCGGGTGCTGCTGCGCGTGCTGCTGCGGGTGCTGCTGCTGGTGCTGCTGCTGGTGCTGCTGCGGGTGCTGTTGCTGGAGCTGCTGCGTGTGCTGCTGCGGGTGCTGTTGCTGGTGCTGCTGCTGGTGCTGCTGCGGGTGCTGTTGCTGGTGCTGCTGCGCGTGCTGCTGCGCTTGCTGTTGCTGGTGCTGCTGCTGGTGTTGCTGCTGGTGCTGTTGCTGGTGCTGCTGCTGGTGTTGCTGCTGGTGTTGCTGCTGGTGTTGCTGCTGGTGCTCGTGCTGGCGTTGCTGCTGCTGCTGCTGCTGCTGGTGCTGCAGCTGCTGCTGCCTGGCAGCAGCAACAGCAGCATGCTGCGGCGTGTGTGCTGCTTGCAGCTGCTGCTGCCACTCAGGCGGCAGCACCAGTTCTTCTCCTTCTTCGAGCTGCTCCATCAGCAGAGCTTTGCAGCGGCGGATGTGGAAGGCAGCAGCAGGACTTTTGTGCAGCCGGAAGCTCAGTCGGGTGCCTCCGCTTTTGCTGCTGCTGCTGCTGCTGCTGCTGCTGCTGCTGGTGCTGCTCTCGGGCGTTTGACGAACTAGACCGGGGGGCTCGAGGGGGTCCTTTGCATCCGCTCCGCTGCTGGTAAGGCTGCTGCCTGCTGCTGCAGTTGGTGTTGCTGCAGCAGCAGCTTCTGAGGCTGCTGCTGCAGCGTGAGCCCAATGGGGAGTGCGGTGCAGCATCTGCAGCAAAGACGAGCCCACAGACGCGTCTTCCAGAGTAGCAGCAGCAGCAGCAGCAGCAGCGGCGGAAGCTGCTGCTGCTGCGGCATCTGGTGCGTTGGCCGCTTTAGCAGCAGCACCAGCCACCGCTGCCCCTACTGCTGCTGCTGAACTAGTGCCTGAGGTAAGCTGCGCGCCTGCTTCCCCCTCTCCTGCTGCTGCTGCTGCTGCTGCTGCTGCTGCTTCTTGGTGCGCAGGTGGTGATGTTACTGTCGGCTTGTCCCGCAGCTTCTTCCGAAGGCGCTCTAGCACAGAAGCCATGCGGCCGCTCTGCTGCTGTTGATGCTCCTGCTGCTGCTGCTGCTGCTGCTGCGGCCGCTGCAGCTGCTGCTGCTGCCGCTGCGGCTGCTGCTGCCGTGGACCAGGAGCAGAAGCAGACACAGCAGCTGCTGCAGCAATCCTCTCTCGCCTTTCCAGCTGTTGTTTTGCTGCCACAGCTGCGCTCTCAGAACTAGCTGGAGTTTCTACTTCTGCAGCAGCTGCTGCTGCGTCCCTAGCAACGGCAGCTTCTGTTGCTGCTGCTGCTGCTGCTGCTTCTGCTGCAGCTGCTGCTGGGACAGGTGTCAAGGACCCAGAGGAACACGGAGTCAGTTCGCCATCCTCTGGCTCTCCATCGGCGCTGCTGTCGCACACCAACAACGTTTGCTTCCTGCTGCTGCTGCTGCTGCTGCCGCTGCTGCTGTTGTTGTTGCTGCTGCTGCTGCCGCTGCTGCTGTTGTTGTCGCTGCTGCTGCCCATGCTGGTGTTGCTGCTGCTGTCGCTGCTGTTGCTGCGGATGCTCCTGCCGCAGGCGTTGCTTCCACTATTGCAGCCCTTGCTGCTAATTTTGCCGTCGTCGTTGCTGCAGCAGCTGCTGCTGATGCTGCTGCTGATACTGGCGCTGCAGCAGCTACTGTTGTCTATGCTGCTGCTGCTGCTGACGCCGGCGGCGTTGCCGTTGCTGTTGCCCATGGTGCTGCTGTCACCGTCTTGTTCGCTAGCCTTTGCTGCAGCACTTCTTGCTGCAGAATTTGCTGCTGCAGCACTTGCTGCTGCCGCACTTGCTGCTGCGGTAGTTGCCGCTGCAGCACCTTCTGCTACAGCTTTCTCTGCCTCAGCGCTTGTTGCTGCAGCACTTGCTGCTGCAACACTGGCTGACGCAGCACTTGCCGCTGCAGCAGTTGCTGCTGTATCACCTGTTACTGCAGCACTTGCTGCAGCACTTGCTGCAGCACTTGCTGCAGCACTTGCTGCAGCACTTGCTGCAGCACTTGCTGGCTCTTCCTCCATATAGGACCTGCAACAAATGCTGTCAGTGCTGCTGCTGCTGCTGCTGCCCACATGTTCTGTGAGGCCAATAAGATGCTGCCTTTCGCTGTTGCAGGCTGCTGGTGCTGCTGCTGCTGGCTCTGCTGCATATGCTGCTGCTGCTGATGCTGCTGGAGCTGCTACTGGTGGTGCTGCTGGAGCTGCTACTGGTGGTGCTGCTGCAGCCGCAGCTGCTGCTGGTGCTGGCGCTGCTGCAGCTGCTGCTGGTGGTGCTAGTGCTGCTGCTGGTGCTGCTGCTGCTGGGAGGGCAGCTGCTGCACCTCTGTTGGAAAGCTGTTCTGTGCTTTGATCAAAATCATCATGACAAGTCGGCTGCAGTGCTGGCTGCTGTAGCAGCAGCTGCTGCTGCTGCTGCAGCGCTGGCTGCAGCAGTTGCAGCTGCTGCTGCTGCACCCACAGCAGCTGCTGCTGCTGGCTGTCGAAGCAAAGACTCGTAAAAGTCCTTTCGCCCTGGGCCCTCCAGCGCCGCAGCGCCGAACCTTTCCTGGCCACGCTGCCTCCCTTGTTAGCCGCTTTAAATGCTGCTGCTGCTGCTGCTGCTGCTGCAGTGCTGTCTGCTGCTGCTGCTGCAGCTGCGGCTTTTCGCCCAGCCCGCGCAGCAGCGCGGCCCTTGCCTAGAGCAGCAGCTGCTTCAGGAGCAGCAGCAGGAACTTTGAAGCCGCCGCAGACAAGCAGCAGCAAACGGTGGTTTCGCTTGCTAGCAGCATCGGAGGGGCTGCTGCTGCTGCTGCTGCTGCTGCTGCTGCTGCTGCTTGCAGAATCGGTTCTGCTGCTTGCTTGCTGCTGGAAGACGCCACCGACGGGCGAGTCAGCTGTAGGTGCTACACAACTGCTGCAGCAGCTGCAGCAGCTGCAGCAGCTACTGTCGGTTGCAGCGTCCATCAAGGTCGGATCTGGTTGCTGTTGCTGCTGCTGCTGCTCTCTTTCCTGCTGCTTCTGTTGCGCCAGGGGGTCACAGGAACAGCAGCTGAATTCCACAGCAGCTAGAGAAGGAAACATCAGCGGCGGCATGCTGCACCTGCTGTTGCTGCTGCTGTTGCTGCTGTTGCTGCTGCTGCTGCTGCTGCTGTTGCCGGTATCAGATATCACGCCAGCACATCCTTTGCTGCTGTTTATAGCAGAGTTGGCCTTCGGCGTCAGCTCTAGCTGCTGCTGCTGCTGCTGCTGCTCTTGCTGCTCTTGCTGCTCTTGCTTTTGCTGCTGCTGTTCCTGAGACTGGGCAACTCCACTGGGTGGCCGAGGAACTTCGCCGGGATCCAAATGCAGCTGCTTCCACTGGCCGCTCCACGTAGGTAAGCTGCTGCTGTTGCTGCTGCTGCTGCTGCTGCTGCTGCTGCTGCTGCTTGGGATTAGGCAAAGGCGGAGTTCCCAAAGGTCTGTAAGGGCACAGCCCTCTGCATCAACTCCCCCAAAAAGGAAAAAGCTGAAGCCGCCGCCGCAGCGCCGCAGCGCAGTCATGGAGTGTCTGCACAGCAGCAGCAGCAGCAGCAGCAGCACAAGCAGCAGCAGCAGCAGCAAATGGATGGATGGCAATGACAGCAAGACAGTGCGTTGGCTAGAAGCCTCAGCTAAAAAGCCCCGCTACGATACGCAGGCGCGGGAAATAGCAGCCTTATCGAGGAAACAAAACAGCAGCAGCAGCTGCAGCAGCAGCAGCAGCAGCTGCAGCAGCAGCAGCAGCAGCAAAAGGCGAAGAGCAACCCTACCCCATGCGCGCGCAGGGTGAAGGTCCAGCAATAAGCCCCTGCAGCTCCTGAATGTCCAGGAGAGGCAGTGAGCCCACAGATTGTGTTGTTGCTGCTGCTGTTGCTGCTGCTGTTGCTGCTGTTGCTGCTGCTGCTGCTGCTGCGTCAGTGACGCTCTTCGGGGAGAGCAGCAAAGCAACAGTTGAATCCGTGAGCTCACACTGCACGTTTTGGTTGAACTTCGAGCTGCTGCGCTGCTGCTGCTGCTGCTGCTGCCCGACGATGCTGCCGCCATTCACCAGCAGCAGCTCTGCAGTGTTGCTGATGCGGACAGCAGCAGCAGCAGCAGCAGAGCGCTGCAGCACTTTGCTGCCTGTGCTGCTGCTCAACTCCACCCAAGTCCATTCGCCTTGACCGTAACTGTCCTTACAATCCCCCGCTGCTGCTGCTGTTGCTGCTGCTGCTGCTGCTGCTGCTGATTCCGCCTCCCGATCTCCTGCAGTAGCAGCAAGGGTACCACCAGCACAGCCTGCCTCAGCAGCAGGTGCTGCTGCTGCTGCTGCTGCTGCTGCTGCTGCTGCAGTTCGCTGTGACTGACTCGGGGGTATTGGCAGCAGCAGCAAAGCAGCAGTGTTCAAAAACCAGCGGCCCAAAGAGTCCCTCCATTGGCCCCCAAACAGAAGTATAAAAGGGCTTCCGTTTGTAAGAGCCTCAGCAGCTCTTGCTGCTGCTGGTCCTGCTGCTGCTGCTGCTGCTGCTGCTGCTGGTGTTGCTGCTGCTGCTGCACCTAGCTCCGGCCACTCCCCCCGACGGCCTCCGCACGCCACAGCGGACCATCCAACAAATTCCTTCGCGTCAACAACTGCAAGGTTGCTGCTGCTGCTGCTGCTGCTGCTGCTGCCATTGCCGCTGCAGTGGCTGCTGCAGCGGCTGCTGCTGCTGGCGTGGCTTGGAGCAGTGGCTGCTGCAGCACTGTTGCTGCTGCACTGTTGGCCTGTTAGCAGGCGCACAGGGAGCAGAGTCATCTGCGCAGCCTCCCGGCCTTTTGGTGCCACCTGCTGCTGCTGCTGCTGCTGCTGCTGCTGCGGCAGCTTCAAGAGCAGCAGCCGCGTTTGGGGCCCCAGCGGCGAAGACGTGGGCCCCAGCAGCAGCAGCGCAGCAGCAGCTGCTGCTGAGGGCGCCCGTGCTAAGCTAGCAGCAGCTCCAAGGCAAGCTTCCTTGGCTGGACTGTGGCTGCAGCAGCAGCAGCAGCAGCAGCCATCTGCTGCCCAGGAAAAGAGGTAGGGGGCCCTGCTGAGTCCCCGAATTTCTTCGAGGCAATTTGCTGCTGCCGTTGCTGCTGCTGCCACTGATCCGGCTGCTGCTGGCGTTGCTGCTGCTGCTCCCCCTGGCTCTGCAGCCGCTTCTGCAGCAGCAGCAGCAGCAGCAGCAGCAGCAGCAGTCAGAGGCACCGGGGACCCCCGAGATATCCCCCAGGGGCAGCCCAGGTGCTCATACTCATGTATAAGAACCTCAGGGGGCCCCCTGCAGCAAACTGCAACACAGAAGGCACTTTGGGGGCCCCTGAGGATGTAGTGCCAGGCCTCTTCTGCTTCTCCAGTGGGTACAGCAGCAGCAGCAGCAGCTGCTGCTGCTGCTGGAGCAGGCGCCCCCGCTGCTGCTGCTGCTGCTGCAGATGGTGATAATGCGCAGGGGTGCGCTGGGGCCTCAGAAGCCCCCACAGCCGCAGCGGCTGAGGCGCTGCTGCTGCCCAGGCGCTCACTCATCTGCTGCTGCTGCCAGCCGGGGCACCTTGCTGTTGCTGCCGCTGCTGCTGCTGCTGCTGGATAAGCTACTGCATGCTGCCTGAGTATTTCGCCCAGCTATTGAGGCGCGCAGCCAGGCTTGTGGGCGTTTTGGCCACCTAAAGCTTCAGGGGGCCCTCCGGGGGCCCCTGGAACGAACCCCCGGTACGCTGCTGCTGCAGCTTGGGGAGCTCTGCTGCCAGTTTTGCGTCAGCAGCAAGACTCTCTGCTGCCTAATTAGCTCCGAAGAGCAACTGGAGGCCAGGGAGCAGCTGGTGCTAGTGTAGGTGGCATAGTACAGCAGCAGCAGCAGCACGTGCTGCAGCAGCAGCCGCTGCTACTGCTGCTGCTGCCTGCAGCGCTAAGGGATAACCTGGCTTTGGCCTACTTTTAAACTGCTAATAATCAGCTTCTCCGCATAAAAAGCGGAGGCAAGACACGCAGGAATTGGTAGCAGCAGCAAACACAGCAGTAGCAGCAGCAGCAGCGGCAGCAGCCGCCGACAACCGCTGGATCTCAAGTGAAAGGCACAGCGATAGCCGGCAGCCCACTGCTGCTTCGTGAGCAGCATAAGACCAAGTTCCTATTAACTAAAATATTATTTATAATCATAATTTTGAATCATTGTTTGTATAGATCTCATTTGAGATGCTGCGTGGATCCACCGAGCTGCATTTGCTATGCCCGGCGCTGTCGCAGCTCCTGGCGACTGAGACGTGCCCAGGGGCTAAAGTTCGGGGGCCATAATTTATTTTTTAAAACTTTAAGGACTTCAAAAGAAGTAATTTCAATATTTGATGCTGAGGGCTTAGAGAGTTTGACGCAGATAGTCCCTTGGCTGCGCAGTTGAGACTGCTTCACTGCTTCACTGCGAGCCGGAAGGCTCTGCTGCCAAAGTTAATAGAATGAAAGGTGCAATTGTTGCAATTAAAGGCCGCATATGTTTTGTCTGCGCATGTACCAAAACAAAACAAAGGGCCAAAGGCTTAGCGTTCAGGGTTTAGGGTTTAGGGTTTAGGGTTTGAGGTTCCGAGTGACCCTGCTGAAAATGACTAGTGCTCCGCACACAAGACTTTGCCTACAAACTGGAGGCTCTAACCTATTCCTTTCTGACATTTTAGAAGCAAATCTGTTGCTGTTTTTGGCTATCTTCGGAGAACTGTTAGAGAGCCTCCCGAGGCACTTATGGGGGCTTTCCTGGCTTCAGCTTTCCTGCAGCAATTACAGCTTCCGAGCTTCCCCAGAGGGCCAGGCCTGAAGCCTTTTAAAGACACAGTTAGGGCTTTGTGCTGCGGGCGAACTCCCAGCAGCACTTTGCAGAGTCTGCGTTGGGCTTTGGGGCCAGACTATGGCTGCATGCACTAAGCCAGACTCTGGCTGCATGCACCAGGGAATTTAAATTCCACTTCAAAGAGTTCTGGAAGTCTTTAGCTTTCACTGAGATGCCGGTTGTAGGAGTTTTGACCTGAACAGGAGCCAACTGCGGGCAGAAGCAGCAGCTGACTGCTGCTGCTGCTGCTGCTGCTGTTGCTGCTGCTTCTGCGGCCACCTCCCTCAGCTCCTGCGGACTGCAACTGAAAGCTGCTGCGCTGCTGCTGCCAGATCTGGCACTTGGCGCTGCTGTTTGCAGCAGCAAGAAGCTTCTTGCTGCTGCAGAGTTTCCCATTAAGGCTACATGCTAAACAAGCAGCTCATTGCCTCCGTGAGACTTAGCGCAGCCTTCTACTTAAACAGCCAGAATCATCAAAACTAATTCTGCTGCTGTCTTTTGAGTCAATGAAAAATAAAAAAGATTTAAATTCAGCTGTTGGCAGCCGTTGCTTCTTTTGAATCTTCAGTCTGTTCTGTTTCAGCAGACTGCAGGAAAGCCCTTTGCCTGCTCCAGCGGTGGTCCACTCGCAAGTGGACCAGTGGTCACCACAGGGGGCATCATAATGCAAAAGTCCTTTTTAAAATGGCCCACATGGTGACCAGAAAAGCCCCAAAATGCTTCCTTTTGGGGCTTCAAGTTCAGATGCTCCAAAGGGAGGCACCTAATAAAAGAATTGGATTTAAGTTTAGTTATTGGCAGCCGTTGCTTCCTCTGAATTTTTTCTTTTTCAGAAAGGTGGCAGCAAAGGACTTGTTCCCGCGTTATGTCTTTCTGGGCAAATGCAAAAGTCAGATTGAAAGCCACATGCAGCAGCACTTGCGCATGCATGCACCCAAAGAATTTTCTGTTGGGGCTTTTGTCTTCATTTTCTGCAAATGAAAAACAGAGTCAAAGTCCTGAGTCAGGAACTCTGCACTTGACTGTACAATTAGGAAATTGAACTTTTCCATGCAGCTAAATGCCCGGAAAAACCTCAACCCTGTTTCTTCAGAACGTTTTAAAAGATAACTGAAATCGAACTGTCTGATATGAGACAGTTGACTGTTAGGCAAAGTTTCGTGGCTTCCATGGAGTCCTGCCTGCTTCAAACTGTCTCTGAAAAAGGAATAAAAGTTGCTGTTTGCATCTTAGCGGCACCAAATGCTGCAGCAGACTGTATCTGAGAAAAGAAAAGCTGCTGCTTGCGTCTTCGCCGCACCAAATGCTGCAGCAGCTGCCAAATGTTTGCTGACAGCTTAACAGAGCAGGGGTTTCGGGTGGCCTTATAAAGCTCACAGCTGCGCTAGAGTTCTAGTGTCTAAGGGCTGCAAAAGGAATCGAGAAGCTTAAGACTTTTTAGTTTTAAAGGAGAACAGCAGCGGCCGCTTTGCTGCAAGGCGCCAGAGCTTTTTCTTAAAACTGCCTGGAGTCCACTAGAAAGCCCAGCCGCTAATATGCTGCTGGCACTATAAGAGCTTAATTCAACTTTTCTTTTCTTGCTTTCTTTCTCAGGCAGCTCTGAAATGACTGGAGCAAACAAAACTAGGAAGGTCTCTCGGTCTTTGTGCACAGTGTCGGAGGTTTTGCCTTGGTGGAGGCAGCAGAATCTTGAACAGTTGATATTCTGGGGCGTCCTCAGTGCACCCTACTTTGCAACTCAGCCAATAAATAAAAGTTTCCACCCATGGACTTAACTAATCCCCTAATCAGCTGCTAAAATCCAAGACCCCAATGGCTATTGACAGAGACCTTCAAAGGGCCATTTCCTCTCTGTGCATCTTCTGTGTCAGTAGTAACTATGCTGTATCAGCAGCAGCTGTTGCATCAGATGGAAAGCTGGTCAGCCAAGTTGGGTTCTTCCTTTGTCAGTTGCTCATAAAACCTGACACATGTCCATCTTGTACTGTTAAAGGGTATTTGGGGGGTAACTGAAAATCATAAAATTGTTGGTGGCTGGTGACGGGCCTACGCAGACAATAGGCAACTCATCACTCCCTCTAGAAGCAGCCTAAGGCCCCCACAGTAGACTCTAGGCGTTAGTCTGCCTCGGGAGGCTAAAATGCTGCAACGCGTGAGACCCCACTTGCTTTGTGAAGCTGCCACAGCTTGAAACTGCTGCCACAGCTTGAAACTTTAAACTGCAGTAGGCAGTAGGCAACTCCAGCCCCAACATCCACCCCCAGAGCCCGCATGCACCCCGGGACCCGCCAGAAAGCAGCTGCCTATGCATGCGATCTACATTGCAAGCTTGAACACCGAAGGCATTCCCACCTGAAAACGGCTCGGCTCTGTTTCGGGCAAGAAGGTGTGCAAACTCCTGACACCAAACCCTGTTTCAGCTTCATACTTTGGCAGAGCTGTCTCACACGATCTTGTTTACAGAAAAGCATGCATTGAGGGTCGGGTGAAAGCTGCATTCTTCTCTGTCGCGGGGGCCCCGCAGGCAGCTGCGCCCTTCCCCCCACTGTATACAGACCGAATATGAAAGTGGAGTTTGCTGTTCTCGTACATATTCTGCTGATTCTTTCACAATTCCTAGCCAAGCAGCAAGTCGAAAGAAGTGCTAAAAAGCAGCAAAAAGCACATCTACGTGTACACCGTCGTTGGCTACGAGCTGCTCAGTGAGCTGCTCCGCGAGTGTCTGTGAGCATCTGTGAGCATCTGTGGAGAGCTAAATGACAGTGCTTTGTCCTTGCAACCCAGTTTTCCCTTTTAAAAGTAGATTAGCCTTCCGGAGAAAAGAAAGAAACACGCGCCGGCCCCTCCCCTGCGCCGTTTCACAGCGCCTTAACACACACATGCGATTGTAACTCTTGACTGCTACCCTACATCCCTCCGTGACGGGTATTTTCCGCCTCCAAAGAGCTGCCTTGGAGCCCCGCTGGAATCCCCAGACGGCGAGGAAACAGCCAATTCAACTATCTTCCAGCTTGGTCGTTTTCACTTTTGGTCTGAGTTGCTGACAAGGGCGGAGGCAAGACTTCCTCAGCTTTGTCCGCTCTGTTGCGGCCTTCGGAAGAGGATCTGTGCGGAGTCAAAAGTGCTTCAATGTTTTCGAGCAGCGCGAGTTGCCGTAGCTGCTCAAAGAGCACGTCCTGGTGGCCATGTACGCGTTGCTGCTGCTGCGGCGCACTTGTGGTCCGCAGCTGCTGCTGCAGTTGCTGCTGTAGGTGCTGTTGCAGCTGTTGCAGGTTTGCTGCTGCAGGCTCGCGTCCACTGTCTGCTCTTTGCTGCTCCTCCTTGATAGCCGAGGCCAGCAGGTGCCTTTCAATGTCTTCCTGAAGCTGCTGCAGCTCGTTCTGCTGCCGCCTTTGCAGCTGCTCCCGAGCCAGGTGGAGCTGCCGCAGCAAACTGTCGTCGGACAGCCCCTGCAACGAATGCACCTGCCGCTGCAAATTTGCTGCGCGGGCGCGGCTCTGGCTTCTTATAGTTCCTCGAGCGCACTGCTGGCGGTGCTGCTCCAGCAGCTGCTCTTGAATCATTTGCAGCTGCTGATCTGCCCTTTGTGGGGGTGCCCGCATGGCTGGCTGCGGGGGCTTTCTGCCGTGCTGCAGCAAGAACCTGCGCACAATATCTGGCTCTGTGAGCCGCGGCTCCGTGGTGGGGCCCCTTCCTGCTGCTGCTGCAGCAGCCGCAGCTTTTGCTGCTGCTTCCTTCGCTGTCTGCTCCGCAGCTTCCTCGAACTCTGTAGTCAGCGCCGCCCACGGGGCTGAAGCGCTCTGTGGCCCCTGCCCGGGCCCATCCCGAGCAGCAGCACTGCGTGCTGCTGCTGCTGCTGCTGCTGCTGCTGGCGGAGTCTGCCTCCCGCTGCATGCGCTGGGGCTGGCCGCACCCCCTTGGGCTCTCCCGCGAGGCTCATTTGCTCTGTCTTCTTCTACAGGCTGCTGCTCGCGTTTTTCGAGAGCCAAGTTGGCCCCAGGCGGCCGCTGCTGCTGCTGCTGCTGCTGCTCCTCAGCAGGCGGCCCCTTAAGGATTTCCATGGCCTTGCTGAAGACCGCCTGGATGCCGTCTAAGGGAGGGGCTTCTTCGTCTGCAGCTCTGTCTGCTGCTGCTGCAGCGCGGGCCGTGAGGGGAGCAGCAAGGGCAGAAGCTGCAGCAGCAGCAGCAGCCAGACCCGTGGCCACTGCGCGGTCGCTGCTGCGCGAGGGCTGGGAAACCCCGAAGCCCACGGCCGCCTGCACAGCCCCCATGTCCAGCCAACTGAGGAGTCTTCTCTTGCGGGAGCCCACGCTGGCAGCAGCAGCTGTTGCTGCTGCGCGGGCCCCACAGGGATCGGGATCGAGTGCTGCTGCTCCTTCGAGAGTTCTGTCTTTCCTTTTCGAGGGCTTGGGCGTTTCGTTTGCTGCTCGAACTGACGGCTTGCGCCCCTTCCTTGACTGCAGCTGCTTCGGGGAACCATTGCCAAGAGAACTCGGGTCTTCTTCTCCTGCATGCGAAACTTCTGCCACCCACTCTTCATAGCGCGCGGGCCTCTTTATTCGCCGCTTGTCTCGAGTCCTGGGGGTGGCTGCGTGTGCAGCAGCAGCGCCTTCAGCCGCCTCCACGCCCCCAGGGGCCTCGGGCTCCTCTGGGGCTGCATGCGCAGCGCAGGCTGGGGTGGGGGCCCCTCCCCCCGAAGTTTGGCTGGCCCGCGGCTCCTCGGGGGCCCCTTGGGCCTCGGGGTCTGCTGCGGCCTCTGTCTCTGCAGCTTCCGGAGCAGCAGCAGCAGCAAATGGAGGCTCAGCGGGCTCCTCCTCCGACTGCTGGCTGTTGCCGCTTCGGGTGCTGCCTCTTCTGCCTTCGCTTGCAGCTCCTCGACAGCCCTGGTCATCAGCTGCCTGGGAAGCCTCCTCGCATGAGCATGCAACAGCTAAGTCTGTGCTGCAGCCATTTTCAGCTGCTGCTGCAGCGCTTGCTTCCGCTCTCTGGGCCATGCTCTTGGGGCCTGGCTCGCTCTGAGGCAAAAAAGCACATTTCCGCGAAATTCCCAAGACCTCAGGACATGAAAACTGGATTAGAATGACCAATGGACCATGCATTGGGTGCATCTCTGCATGCATATAGATTGTCTTTGAATTTAAATGTATATAAAAGCAAGAAATGAAGCAAGAAAAGCCTCACTGTCGCGCTGCTGTGCTGTCTGCAAGCTTACCGGCTGAGACTCCAGCGGCTTGGCGGCCTCCAGCGAGCTCTGGCTGCTGCAGTTTGGAGCAGAAGCTGCAGCTGCGCTGCAGCAGCAAGACTTCGCTGGATCCTTCCCGCTGGGGCCTTCTGGCTGCGCGGGGTCGCAGACCCCCGAGGGAATGGCAATGCTGAGAGCTTCGGCCCAGCGATCAGCTGCGAGGGCTGCGCAGGTGCCAGCAGCAGCAGCAGCAGCAGCAGCAGCAAACTCCCCAGGGGCGTCTGCGGGGCTCTCGGCAGTCGTAGTGGCCCCGCAAGAACAGCTTTCCTGATCTTCTTTACGCGCAGAGTCGCGAGAGCTGAAAACCCTCGAAGACAGCCTCTCCCCCACGGGCTTGCCACCAGCCTCCCGCGCCCCGGGCTTCCCCGTCATCCCCCCGAGCCTTTTGCTGCGGCTTTGGCCGCTGCGCAGTCAAATTTGAGAGGGGAGGGGCACGTGAGCCCGACTGTGTTTTCTTAGGTCGATTTGGCTAACTTCAACTCTCGCTCTCTCGCCGCGTGGGCACTCGGCCCGCCGGGCCTCCGCAGCAAAGAGTGTGCTGCAGCGCAGCAAGACCTGATATCATGCCAAGACCCCCCCAGCACTGCCGCAGACTCTGCAACCAGTCAAGAAGCTGCTGGCACGCGGACTCAGGACTTCAAACCCTGAGCCCTGAGCCTCTGGAGCTGCCCCCAGGCGGCGAAGGAAGGGCTGGCTCCGCGGGGCTGCAAAAAAGCCCCTCTTTTCGGGGCAGCTGCACTTCCCGGGGACTGCAAGCTGAGGAGCAGTCAACGGAACCCTACTGTGCAGCCGAACCTGGTGAGCTGGCGGTGACCCTGAACTGGGGACGGCGAGCCCCCGCTCCGACGCAGGCCCCGTTGATACTCCGTTGTGTTGGTGAATTTCGGTCAACAGTGAAGGAGAAAAGAAAAAGAGAACGAGAAGATGGCCCTCACGGCTGCAGCTGCGTGCTGTCACTGCTCCCACGCCGCGGCCCTGGCGGGATCAGCTGGGTGTGGAGGGTGCAGCTTGGTAGCGCTCTTTGCTGGGGGATGTGCTTTCTTCTGTGACTTTAAAGCCCCTCCAATTAAGCTTAGAGCAAAGGGAGAGAGCTGCAGTTCAAAGAGCCACGGAGAGCCGCTGCGGGCCGCTGCAGCAGAGCGCCAGCAGCTCAGAGCCTACCTCCCTCCCGCGGCAGAGGTGGACGGCTGTGGAAACGCACACGCAGTTCTGCAGAAGAGGGCAAATACGAGGCACCTCAATCTAGACAAGTTTAAAAACGAAAGGAAGGGCTCTTTATGGACTTCCAAAGCGCCAAAAAGTACACCTTGAACAGCCTGCAGTGGTCCTCCGGTCACTGCAAGCATGGACGGCGAGGCGGCCAGATGTGCAGCTCTCTGCCGGCAACAGCAGCTACTTTGCGGGCTCCACAAGAAGCCACACAACCCTCATTACATTAGCAAACACACTACCACTTGAATACGCGAAAAATGAGCCGAAACTGTGGCTTGTAACCCTCCAAACCACCGGGGCAGTCATCGCCGCGGGGCCGCCTACGCTACCTACCCAACACCACCCCAGCCTGTCTAGCGGACGCTCTGCGCTGCTCGTTTTCTCATCAATTGCGAATGCTTCATTTTGCAAAGAGATATAGTTCATATAAACACGAAACGGCGGTGTGAGCAATGCGTATATATGAGGAAGGCTTGCGATACGCCCGTTGGCTACAGCCCGGTGAGGGGGGCCTGATTGGAAGCCGCGGTGGGAGGGACTGAGGCCCACAGCCATTCACACAATTAAAGTATTATTTTTATTCCGTTTAAAGAGTTTAGCTGCACTTTAGTCTTCCTAAAGCGGCCCAAATAGCTGCAACTACTCCTTGTGAATCGGCAGGCGCCTTCTGCAGCCTTTTTCGATTTGTTGCCAGCCGCTGCTGAGAGCCCAGCCGCGTCCTTCGCATTCGCAGCTTTCCCGCTAGTATTTGCTGCCCAATGGCGCCTCCAGGGCACGGGGCTGATGGCCTCTACCTCGACTACAACGCAACTACTCCCGTTGACCCGGCAGTCTTTGCTGCCTTGAGCCCGTTTTTACAGGGTAGGGCCCCCGGCAGCAGCTGCCCACGGCTGGGATATAATAGTGACTGAGAGTCTTGTGCATGCAAGGCTTTACCAGCCTGTGTGTAGTACGTAGCCTGCTGAGCCCCGCCGCTGGCGAAGGGCAAAGTGACCCCTGCAGCAACCTAGTGCATGTTACTTTAGGCGTTTGCTGCTGCAGAGCGCTTTGGAAACCCCTCCAGCAAGCACGCTGTGGGCGTTGACGCCGCGGGAGCCCTCAGGGCGGCCCGCGAGGCCGCCGCGGCCGCCCTGGGGGCCCCTCCCTGCAGCATTACCTTCACCAGCGGCGCCACAGGTGAGACTTGGTTGGCCCGTGGGGCCCACCAGAGCGCCAGGACTTTCCCCTGCATGCGCTGCAGCAGCGGGGGCCCCCGGAGCAGCACCGTGGTTGGCCCGGGAACGTAGCTGGGCGTCCGCGGTGCAGCGGGGGCCCCGGCTTTTATGCAGCCTTTTAAAAATGCTGCTGTGCTGCTGGCTTTTTATGACTTAATGGTGCAGAAAGCATTAACTGGGCACTGAAGTCAGGGGCCAAACTTAAGAGGCTCAAGGGGCCCTCTCCCGGCCGCATAGTGACCTGTGCTATGGAGCACCCTGCAGTCTTGCGCGTCTGCGAGTACCTCCGCGTCAGTACTTTGTTCTTCCCTTCCTTTCATTTTATTCTATTTTAAGGGCATTTTGAACACCCTAGGGCCAGCTTGGGGCCCCTCAGAGGGGCCCCTAAGCTGCCCTTGGGTTCCCTAGCCTTTCCTTGCCTCTCTCCGCCAGTATTGCTTCTAAGCCGTAGTTTAGAGGGGGCCCTAAGGGGCCCCCCAAAGGGCCCCTGTAGCCTATTAGCTATTCGGATCATGCCATTCCACTTGGCCCCGGCTAGGGCCTTCGCACAGTGGGCCCCAGGGGCCCCCAAGGGAGGCCCTTGTCCAGTTGATGTCCCCCAGATTCAGCCCCTACTGTTTAGTTGGGGTCCCCTAGTAGAGCTCTCTGGCTTCGCGAGCCAAGGCCAGCAGCAGCAGCAGCAGCAGCAGCAGGCTCGTATTCGGCACTAGAGGGCTGCCGTGCAGCTGGACGAACGCTGTTTTATTCTGCTACGAACTGCTGCGCTGCAGGATGAAGAGGGCTTCGAGCTGATTCTGTGTCCAGTTCTCTCTTCTGGCCTCATAGACCTTGGGGCCTTTGAGGCTCTTCTTACCGCTGATGTGCGTGGGTCGCGCATCCAGTTACAGTCATGTGCTGCTGCTACCGCCTCTTTTTGCTGCTGCTGCTTCTTTTGGTGCAAGCGCTGGTTCGTTTGCTGCTGCTGCTCAGCTGCTTCTCGTTTGCTGCTGCTGCACTGCAGCTATTGTGTGGCGTGCGGGGCCTCAGACGCTCTTTGTGGGAGGGGCTGTTGCAGGGCCTCTAATCGTGGTGGCTTTATGTGTACAGACAATTCTCATTAGCATCCCTCTTGCAAACGGCGAGGTTGGAGTGGTGCAGCCGATACGAGAGGTATGCAGCCGCGAGCAAATGCCTATACTGTATTTATCTGCAGATGTGTACTTATATCTTTAAGTGTTTGTTTGCTTATTCTCATGAATGTTTGTGTACTTGCATGAATGGGCACTTGCAGCGACACATTGTGACCTGTTTTCCGTCAAGCAAAAGAAGGCACCAGCCGAGGACTGTTTGGGGTTTCGTAACCTCTTTTTCTGTTCTTCGAAGGCAAGTGTGTGCATTATACTTTGGGTTGACTTTGCTGTTGCTTCTGTCGTTGCTGCTGCTCTGCGGTGCCCTTTGCAGGTGGTGTCAGTGGCCCGCCGGATTTGCCCAGATGCTCTCATCCACGCAGACGCGTCGCAGGCCATGGGCAAGGTGGCTGTACAGCCCGTTTCCCTAGGTGTGGACCTCTTAACAGGTGAGGTACAGCACCAGTATACCAAACGAATGCAGGGACAACCACAACGCAGCAGCAGCAGCAGCTGCTGCTGCTGCAGCTGTAGCAGCAGTGGCAGCAGCTTCACCAGCAGTAACAGCGGCTTGAAAGTACCGTATCCGTCTGGCCGCTCTCGACTATGCTAGCAGCTGACACCGCTGTTTGCTACTCCCAGTAAACACGCATGCAAGCAGACCGAAGGCAGCCTTCTTATGCTCATGCATTAGGTCTCTAACCTCACAGTTTGCCTCCCGTTTTGCTTGTGTCTTTCTGTTTTTTTTGCCGTTTGAAGTGCTCTTTTCTATTTCATTGTCCCCTTGTGTTTCCTTGCGGTTCGCTGTTTTGTGTACTTGCCTTTGTACCTGTTGGCATCTGGCCTTCAGGCCTTCTGCATCCTTGTTTTCGCAGCCCTGCGCATGTAAAGCCTGGCCTTACCTGATGTCGTGGGGTGGAGAATTCGTGCATTGCACGCTTTTAATCATTATGTCTTCTTTCTTTTACTTCTGAATCACTCTTCTCCTTCAGCTTTTGTGCCTAGCACTCACTTTATTTCCAGTTGTTGTAGCTCTGCCTTGCACTGTTTGAATCCCAGTCTTACTTTTGTTCCGAAATATGTACTTTGTTTCACAAAACAAAGCATACTTTTCACAGCGTTTGTGCTCTCGTTGGCTACACTCACAATATCCAGTATTAAATGTGTGGGTATTTTGCGCCTTTCGGCGGTGCTTTTCAGTTGCGGGCCACAAAGTCTACGCACCGAAGGGAGTTGGGGCTCTTTACATTCGGGAAGGCATAAATCTGCCCCCCTTGGTTCTTGGTGGGGGCCAAGAAAGCGGCCTTAGGGGGGTGAGCAGCATTCCCAGTCTGGAGGCTTAGTGCCTACACATTAGCTCAAAGGAATTATGGCGTTAGGCTTGTCTTAAGATGCACGCTTTAAGTTACTGCAGGGGCTAGCGCTGACATGAGCCCCCACACACTGTTTCTGCCTTAATGAGCCTTGAGGTGACCAGTGGTCTATTTGCGGGCACAACGTTTAGGTTCCTAGGCTTGTTTGCATGTGTTAAGGGGACAGAGAACGTGGCCTACATTGTGGGCCTCGCCAAGGCCCTTGAGTTGGTGCAGCAGAGCTGGGCGGCACCTGAGTGGCCCTGCACACAGCAGCAAATAGCTGCCGCTGCTGCAGCAGCGTCCAGCAATGAGCTGGACAGTTCAGAAGCAAACCAAGCCAAGGAAGCAGGGGCCCTCGCGGCCCATCCTCCCCACCCGAGCAAGCTTGCCTTCACCGCCAAAGTATTCGTAGAGGCTTTTTGGGCGGCTTTGGAGCAGGACACAAAAAGCAGCAGGCAACTACGTGAGTTTCAGCTGCATCTACTTTAACTAGATGCGTCACAAGGCCACTAGAGGAGGGGAGCGAATGTGCGGGACACAGTACTCTGTGAGTCGGTTACTTCGCGTGTAGTTTTGAAGGCCGTGGACGTGTTCTGCTTCTGTGCGGTTGCTGCAGTTGCTGCTGCTGTGCGTTTCAATGGCCCTCTTGGGGCAGCCGACGCACAAGTGCAGCAGCAGTGGCTGCCCGGAACTATTCACCTATCGATTTGGGGCGCGAGTGGCTTTGAAATAGCAAATGCTCTTGCTGTGAGAGTCACCCAAGAGCTTTGCTCAGTGCAAAGCTCCGAATGGCTGTTCCGTTGAATCCATACATCCGTGCATGCAAAAAATAAGCTTTTGCCTCCACGCGCGCATGCATGCCTCAGTCTGGGCCGCCCTGATTTTCTGCCTTCTCTGAGAATGTGTGTTTGGTTGCTGGCGTGAGCCGCCACAGCATATCTTGGTGACGCATGACTGCAACTGCATGCACTTTTGCATGCACTTTTGCATGCACTTCTGCAGGAAGAAGAACGGCTGTTTGTCTCGGCTGGGGTGAGCTGCCACCAGTGCAAGACGGCGTCAGGGACTTTGTTGGCTATGGGCCATCCCGACGAGTGGGCAGTGGGCTCTCTGCGCATAAGTGTGGGTGAGTAAAGAGGCAAGAGGTCGCGGAAAGCGATACAAAGGCACATGTTTGTACATTATTCGTGTAGCACTAGTCTTCTTTAGAGTGGTATTAAATTCAATTCTGGCGTCAGCATGCTTCATTTCTACTGAATCGGAGAGACACAGGATGGAGCCAGAAGCTCCAGCAGAAAAGCACTGCTAGTTTAGTTTTGGGGGAAGAGCAGTACGTCGTCTGCAAGTGGAAAGCGCTTTCCTGCTCCACAGTGCCATTTTTGGGATGCAGATTGTTTCGAGCTGGTTAGTCTTGGGAAGTTGCGATGAACCAAAATTTATTTGCTGCATTTGCCTTTTAGCCAGAATCTATTTGCTGTTTGCGTGGGATCCCTTTTTCTGTACAGGCCGGTGGACCTCTCCTTTCGAGGCTGCTGATGCTGCTCGTAGAGTTGTCAAACTGTTGGTGTCTCATCAGCTGCTGCAACGCGAAGGGGTCCCGAATTAGAACTTGGGGGATGCTGCATGCCTTCGTTACTCCACAGACGACTGCAGAAGCAGCTCCTTTTTCTTGTTGGAGGGCAGCATAAGCCAGTTCTCAGTGCGCATATCTTGCTGCCAGCGTTGGGTCCCCCGTCCCACTGGGCTTCTCTTTGGCTCAGGCTGTCCTTTGTGTAGCTTTGCATAGACTTTCATATGTGAAATAGACACAAACGCACACAGCCACGCTCATATTGTGAGACGTCCTGTCTTCATTTTAAGCCGTTGGCTGTTTCCAACAGTGCGAACATCGCCTGTCCCTCACTTCTTCAATATGTTAGCACGGGCCGGCTTTAGACGCATGCAGCGCTGTGCAGCTGTTCATGCATGCACAAACGCATGTGGCGTTGCACACACGCAAGCAACTACTCATAGAGAGTTCGTTGGGCTCGTTTTGTCCCCAGTTTGCATGCTTCTCTTATCTCGAGAGAGCTGCAAAAACAGCCTAATGTGAATGTTGGCAAAATCAGCCCACTTTTATTTTGAATCAAGTGAATACTATATGGTACATCTTTATGTATGGCTTTCAGTCGGAATGATGGGGAAAGCGAACGGAAAGCTTCAACGTGTATAGAGTCTCCAAGGCTCCAGAGAAGACACGCTTAGTTCGTACGAAAGTCAACTATGCTCTCAAAACGTAGCTTCAATAAATGTTGGTTTAGTCAGGTATCCCATCCTCGCATTTCCGTCAAAATATGATTGAGAAAACTGTTTAGTAGTGCCTCGTAAAAGAAGGCAATTCGCTGTAGGGGGAGAGAGTTACTAAAGCTACCTCTGTGGGCGTCTGCTAAGAACACTACTTCGAACTACGTGAAATGACAGATGTAGAACTGTGGACAATATTATATTCATATTATTGAGAAAAAGCTTTATGTAATGTGTGAGCAAGCGTATGCTTAGTTCGTGCAAGCAACTCACTGGCCGATGCAGTTGACCTGTGGGGGACTACATCTGCTCTCTGAAATGAGGCATTTCTATGCTCGTTAGGAAGCATGAGAGAGGATGAATTTCCTGCTTCCTACTGCTACGTTGCAGCATAATTATCCTCCAGACTCCCTTTCGGGTTTCGTGCCCTTTTCGTCGACTCCCGCGGTTGAGGTAATGAGCTATCTGGAAAGGCAATTGAACAAATCTCAGTTCTGTTCCACCAATCAGGGTAATGAAAGCCAAAGGATTGGTATACGGTGACCAGAGGCTTTGGAAGAAGAAATCGAGGAAGAGCACTAAACATCCTAGCGCGCCCGTAGAAAAGCTAGCTCAAATGAAGATTGCTGTGCCAGTTGTTCAGTCAGTTAGTGGGATCTTGGCCGGCCGTGGATGTGAGAACAAACAGTACTGTATATGGAGTCAGGCTCCACCAAGAAAGGAGTCCCAAAAAGGTTCAAACTTCCAGCCGTATCACTGCTTTTGAAGCAGCCTCAAACTGGATGGCTTTCTTGTGCGATTAATAGCGGGCACAGTTTCGCCTGACCTTCATGTAAAGGTCACGTGCTGGTTGAGGTCGCGCTGAGCACGCATTCATGACAGTTATCACGCTGCTCGGCCTCACATACAGGATAAAAGTGTGAGCCAGAGTAGCAAAGATATCTTTGTACTTCTGAGCACGCAGGCCTAGAGAGTGTTGGTCTGTAAAGGCATGAAGCCCGGCCATGAAATCGTTAAAATAATGCGCCCCTCGAAATAAATCTTCACTTCACTTTGGCACATCAGTGTGGCTATCAAATATTTTGCAGCATGGCTTAAGACGTACTGTTGGTCATCACAATATGTGTTGGTTACGAACTCGCGCTGAGCACGCATTCATGACAGTTATCACGCTGCTCGGCCTCACATACAGGATAAAAGTGTGAGCCAGAGTAGCAAAGATATCTTTGTACTTCTGAGCACGCAGGCCTAGAGAGTGTTGGTCTGTAAAGGCATGAAGCCCGGCCATGAAATCGTTAAAATAATGCGCCCCTCGAAATAAATCTTCACTTCACTTTGGCACATCAGTGTGGCTATCAAATATTTTGCAGCATGGCTTAAGACGTACTGTTGGTCATCACAATATGTGTTGGTTACGAACCCTCTGCCGGAACACTAGCTGCGTCTGCTACTAGATTCAACTAAGAGCCATGAGCGTTGCTTCTTTTCTCATTTCGAAAGCGGCCAGTGTGCGCAAATGTGTGGTCCATGATGCTGTACGGTCGGCGCACTTAACTCGGAGCTCTGGCTGCCGCACAGCCTTGCAGCTGCGCGTGGCTTTACCTTGGCCCGTCTCTTGGCTGCTGTTTAGGGCACAGGCATAAAGACCCCACAGTGTGACGGCAGCAGCAGTAGCGGTAGCAACCAACTTAGTCGTACTACTTTGTGGCTAGGCCCGCAGGAATGCTCCCAATTCAATCACCCCCGGCGAAATTTGGGGCCAAAATTGCGGAGTTATGTCTTGCAAGCACTAGACACAGTTCTAAAGTGTTTCTCTTCCATTTCGCAACCGGCTTGCTCCCATGCACGAAAAGCGAGAAGAACGAGAAGAACTTTATAGAGCTCCAGCCCAGCCCGTCCTTAAAACTTCTTGCCGCAGTCGACACTGAAGTACACCGATGTTTTGGTAGAGATTGGCACTGTGAACAGAAAGCCAAGTGCAGTTATGGATGGCTAGCACAGCCAAACGCTGCCGTCAACGCACGGTCACAGCGTGGTTGCACTGCCTTTGAGTGGAATGGCAATGGTGCAAGAAGGATGGCAAGGACAAGAGAGGTCTCAAGTGGTTCAATTTGTCAGGCAGTGGATACTGAGACGGACCTTCTCAATAAGACAGCAACTGCGGTGACGCGCATGCAGTCCAACTCTCATAGTACAAAGCACACCAAATGCGCACAAATGGTAGTGCGTGGTAGTACTGATTGGCGTGTGGTCTTTTGGAGACCTACTGTAGCGAGCTAAGCGTCTTGACAGCCTCAGCTTTTGAGCCAACTGCAGAGCACACTGGCCCTGATCGCAGGATGTTTAATATCCTTCGTGTGATCCTGATTTATCTATGAAATTTATCTGCACGCACCGGATTGTATAATACGGAAGGCCATTTCTCCGGCTGCATTGTAGTACTGCGCGCCACGTCTACTAAAGAAGCGGGCATTTTTGCTATTCGATGGAGGGGATACAATGCCAATGAAAAACTTGTAACTGGGCCAGTTGCTCAAGGGACCAAACGAGCAGCTGAAGAGGCCCTCAGCGGCGAGATTCATGTCCGCAAATTAGGACCCGTTCATTCTAACCGGATTAAGAGCACTGCTAGACTTTACTATAAAGTAAAAGCCCAACCTGAGTCAGGAGCCATTATAGTTTGCTGCTTAGGGGAGTGGGGCAACACCTGCGCTTGTCATACAATCTTGACACCCGACGCTGTCCATACAATACCGTTGGGCGTACCTGGCCTACCCTAACAACCCCCCTACCAGTGCCCGCGCTGCACCTAGCGCTGTGAAAGGCTCTGCAAGCTGTTGACCTGGCCTGGCATGTTGTGTGCAGTTCGGCTGGTTAGCTGCGGCCACGTTTCACCAGCAGCAGCGGCCTCTAGCAACACTGCCACTGCAGCGCAGGCAACAAGTATCATGCGCATACTACTATCTTCTTAGCCTGCAGTAGCTAGCGACCGTAAGGGGAGAGGATCCTGTGTCATGTCCTATTGAGAGTGCTGCCACATCCAGTGAGTTCCAGCTATGTATATCTAGTGAGTTCCAGCTATGTGCACGCAGCCTCCTGCACGCCTCATAAACACTTCAATTTCTGAGAGTACGCGCTTTGCGCAGTGCAGGCGAGCGTGCGGCTATGCGAACTTCCGCATAGCCTCCAAAAATTAAGAAACAAAAGCGCTGCGCTAAGCTTCTTGCCTGCTTGGCTCAACTTGCCCTTGACAATACATGATAGTCTGACAAGTCAGTGCAATGAGGTACTCTGTTCAACGGCTACTAAACAAAACGATGTCGTCCATTTACAAATTGGTTTCGCCGGTCCATAAACACCTCGGTTCCCGTTTCAGGCAGCTTATGGGGAGCCTCGAATGATGTAACATATAGGAGACAGCCATATGGAACCCACACGGCTGCGCCTTCGGGGGTTGTTGCCTGACTGCGTACGAATTGAAACAATAGGAAACACTTAGCCGAAACACATAGGCAACGCACAATCAGAATGGGCATAAAATCCAACAAACACCCAAGAAGGCAGATGACAGGCACATACACGGGAAGACAGCATGCATTGTGAAAAAACAGGTCCACACACAGACGCAGACATCACAACTCCTGCACTTTCACAGGCGGAGGTCTACCATTTGTACGTACGCCTCAGTTAGGCACGTTGGCTCTAACCCAGCGACTTCCAAGCCCCATTTGAAGAGGCCTCTTGGCTAGTCAGCCATTACAAGGCCCAAACAAACACGCAGTACTACCCAGCAGTGCCTCGGATTGCGTGCAGCCACCGTAGCTCAGGCTGCTGCCCCAAGGCGCCACCCTCAGTTGCTACGGCCTCTTCAGCAACCGCCTCGGCTCTGCGCGTCTGCTCTGGAAACTGAAGGCCCTCTGGAAGCCCCGCATTTCTTCTACAAACTCATATTCCACCCCACAGAACAGCTTGTGGCCCGCAAATGGCCTGGCTACTCCCTCAAAGGTGTCCTAGCGCTTGTTCTGTTGGCTGGTTCCTCGCTGAGGGCTTCCCGAGCTGCTTCCGTTGGTGCATGCAGTCACCGTTATATGCATATGGGCTCCGTAAGGATGCGTGTATGTGCACGCATTAGGCTTTGTGCTGCATATTTTCCTCCCAAGGAATGAAACCTGCCTCTTGGAGGCTCTTTGACAGCGCAGAACAATCCAAGGTGAAGGCCATGAGCTCTCCGTTGTCCATAGGCTGGCCTGTGAGCCTTTCTACAAATTTAGGGTGAGACGTGAGCAGGAAACGGGAGGCCGTTTGGACAGCACACAGTGAACGCAGCAGCGAGAGGCCTCTGCGCAACACGCTTCCGTCGGACTCTACGTAGTCACTCTCCATTTCCTCTGGCATAGCCCACACTGCCCGCTGCACAGAGGGCTCCTGCCGCGCTGACTCTTTCAGGAACGAAAATGTACGCACCAGATTGTCGAGCCGTCGCGAGCACTGGAACCCCTTGGGGTAAGACAGACGATCCAAATCTTCCATAAACTTCAGCGCTGCCGTGTCCACGCTTTTGCCCCCAACGGCAGCTTCCAGGGCTGCCAACTGCGCCTCCACAGGGCCCCCAACTGAGCGGCCTCCGGGAAACCCAGTGTCTGCAGCAACGTCGAGTGAGCCTGATGGGCGAGGGCTCCCTGGAAATCCGTGGGGCCTTGGGGTTCCTAGAGCCCCCAGCTGCTGCTTCTTCCACCACATTCCGTAATTTGCCACGATACAATCGAACACATCTCTCTGAAATCCGTTCTGCACCCGAAGGTTTTTAGTTTTCTTCAAGACAACAGGCAGGGACTCGCCTATGTCTCCGGCCGTCTCAACAACCTCGCGAAGATGGGGAATCGTCACGAAGCGGACACTGGAGCAAAGGTAGCCGTCTGCATGAGACGAGGCCAAAGGGCTGGAGGTGGTTCCTCCATGGCAAGAAAGAGGCTCCAGGATCCCCGTGAAAACCTCAAGACACGTCTCAACTCCTGACTGAAGGGTAGAGGTCAGGAATACGTCCACGCAAGCCTGCCGCCGCTGCTCTGCAGGCAAGTCCTTCGTTTGCTTTACAAATCGTGTGAACAGTTCGTGCAACAGCTCCACCTGCAGACGGCCGTCGTCGCTTAGCTCCGCCACGCCGTCACTCGGGTTGAAAAAGCCCGTGCGTTTCTTGCGGACTGTCGGCTGCACCAACACTACACAGAGACAAAGAAGACAGAAAGAGAAGACCCCATAAATACACTACATACATGTGCACGTATCCGTGACCAGCATCAAGTATTAAGAGCACGTGCATAAGCAAGCATGTACAAAGCGTACTCAATTCAAGCGTGTTTCTACGACATGCCAGGTACAAATACGCCAAGAAAGGTGCACCACAGCTGGCTACACAGAAAGCATGCAGTGCCTGGCGCCCACGCAAGTGATGGGCATGCACGAAAACATCGGGAAAGCCAACAGAAGGCAGGGAATACAGGGGACACAAGACGGAACAAAGCAAGAAAAGGAAAACAGTGCTAAGCACGAATGACTCGTCAAAAGAAGCATCTATGACACCTATGCAGGCTGCCAACAAAACGCCGAGACAGCTTCGTGATCACTGAAGCCAATAAGAGGTACGACGCAAGACTGAGACGGAACAACTGGAATTTCGAGCACTATTCCGACAGATCTGATGAACAAATGAAAGAGTAACGTGCAAACACGAAATTAGCACACATGGGGCATAAGGCCACCCGGAAAGAATGCGAGCGTAATGCTTTTTCGTGTGTT